GCGGCGCCGGGGGGCCGTGGCGGGGGGAGCAGCCGGCTGCGAGGCTGTTGTGGCGCTTGCCTCCCTCGGTTACAGCAGGGCCTCGCGTTTTTCCCTTCCTTATTGTTGGGTTTTCCCCATTGCCGTCAGCAGCCGGGCCATTGCCGTGAGGACGGGCCCTGGGTGGGGCTGGCAGCACCCCAAAGCCGGCCCCGCGCCGGCGCGGCGCCCTGATTTCCCTGCGAAGGGGGCGAAGCCGATGGCGGTTCTCGGTGATTTGGCTTTTTGCTCAGGTTTCGGCAAACGGAGGGATCCCCCGAAGGCACCGGCGGCGGCAGAAGAACCGCGCTGGTGCTCAGCCGCCTTCCCCCGTGCCGGCGGCCGCCTGGCTCCCCGGCCCGAGCCCTGCCGGTGACTCAGCTCTGAGTCTCCCGAGCAGAGCCCTAATTCCCCGCAGCTTTCCCGGCCTTATAAGGAGCGATTGCAGAGTTGGGCTCGTTTGGCTAATGGGTTATTACGGTGATAAGCGCCTCTGTAACGCCGGTGATCTTCAAACACCGGAGCTGTTTGCTGCTGATCCTTGGCGATACCCTCTGGGTCAGGTCAGGCCTGTTCTTATTTAACAGTCAGGACAGACAGACGGACGGACGGAGCGTCTTCCCTGTGGTTGCAAAATGCCGCCGTCGGGATCACCGGCTGTGGGTCCTCGGACGGTGCCGTCTCTCCTCCGCCCGGGATGTGGTTGGGGTTAGCGTGGCTCCCTCTTCCCTGGGAGCAGCGTCGGTGCCTCTCCCTCCAGCCAAGCTTTTCCCAAGTGGGGTTTTTTGGGCTGGATGATGAAAAACAGACCAAAAAGATTGAAAATCAGCTTCAGCATCCCTGAAAGCCCATCCGTAGTCATCCTGGCCAATACTGCTCGCCCTTGTTCCCAGGGGACCTGGCTCTTGCCGGGTGGTTGGACCCAAAGGGTTGCCGGGATTTTGGGAACGCCTCCTCGAAGGGCGCTGACCGGGAGTGCGGCCGTCCTGCCAAAAAGCTTCCAACTGCTGGGGCTTTGCTGCAGCCGTCACCCAAACCTGGCCAAGCCCTCCCCATCGCGGTTAATTCCCGAGGCCAGTAGTGAAAGCACAGTAAAAAAGTAAACACGCGGTGCCGGGCTGGGGTGACTCGGGGTGCACAGCTGGAGCGTTAAGGAAGCATTTTCCCTATGAGGTGGGTTTTTTTCCAAGCAGGAGATGAGTGCAAGGCACTCCATCGTCCTCCCAGCACTGGCCGCATGGCAAAACCCTCCTGCCTTTCCCGGAAAACAACAGAGGGGCCCTGAAACCCGCTGCCCCCTCTGCTCCGGGGCTGTGACCGGGGGCAGAGCGGGTTTAATGCCAACCAGGAGGCAAAGGAGCGGGGCAGGGGCATCCCCACGGCTCCGCTCCTCCTGCCTCAGCCGAATTCGGCACCTCGAAGGTGCAGGTTGCCGTGTGCCGGCCGTGGCATCCCTCGGGGTTGCTCTACTTTATCTTGGAAACAGCCCTGGCGCCGGCAAGGAGCCAATGAAACTTTGGCTGCAGGACGGTAAGAGCAAAGCCCAAAAATAACTGTGCGGGAGCGTTGCCGGGGACCGGCGCACCGGTGGTGCGTGAGACGGAGCCAAGTTAAGCGCCTCTTCTCCTTCCCTCCGCCCGCCCAGCCCCGGCCAGGCGCAGCTCGCTGCAGCCAGGCTGCTGCAGACAAACAAGCTGGGCAGGGAGGGGTTTGCTGTAACCGGCTGCGCCTTCCGCCTCCTGCACCTGCCTCGGCCTCCCGAAAAGGTTCGCCGCGCTGGAAAATCTGGTTTTCTCCCCCGGTGGTCCAGAGAGCCTCGCTCAAACGTCCATCTTGGGTCTTGCCATCCCTCTATCCCCTCCATGCTTCTGCCGCGGAGGAGGATGGAGGCGGCGGAGCCTTCCCCCGACAGCATTTGCATGGGTGGTTTCCTGGTTGTTTGACCCGAGGTTTGGTAGTGCCGGTGCCGGTTGGGAAGGCATCGGCTGCTCTTTGCTTCCTGCCGCAGCCGGTTTGCGTCAGCTTGATGGCGGGTTTATCCAGGAGCAGGTTTTTTTGGGGTCTGCTGGGACGGAAAGCGCCCGCGTGCCGACTCCGGGTAGTTTTGGCTGCGGGGATGGAAATGGGCCGGTGCTTGTTCCTTATGGCAGCGAATCTTCCCCAGGTGAGTGATTTCCTTGGCAGCGTCCCACCCTCACGCAGGCCTGACAGGACGGGGATGGCGAAGGCGAATCCTGACGCTTGTAAACAAAGCTGCGAGTAAGGACGCGTGAAGGCACTGACGTGCTGCCGGCGGCTCTGCCGGGCCCGTGCCGTGCCGAGGCTGCTGCCCTGCCGTTGCCAGCCGCTCCGTGCTCCTACCCCTGGCCTTGCCCTGCGTCCCATTTGCTTTAGGCAGCACGAAGGCGATGCTTCGCAGGCAGGCGCTGCTGTGAGCAGTGTTCCTCGCCGTAAAACCCCGAGCGCTTCTTGCATCTTCCCAAAGCACGGAGCACGCTGCGCCCGGCTGCTCGTGGAGTTTCCAACTTCTCAGGTCTTGCTGAGGAAAAGATTTCCTGGAGTGAAAGTTGCAGACAAGTCTCCGGGCAAACAAGCAGCGCTGCCGGGTGCTGGCAGAGCCCAAGTGAAGCTTCTCTTGGATAATTGTCTTGCTGGGGGAACGGAGGGGTCTGGCGTGTGCTGGGGAGCTGTAGGAGGGCTCCTCGTTTCCCAGGGAGCCGGAGGTTGTGCGAGCAGCGTATACAAAATATTTTGGAAACAAACAGATGGCTTGTTGAGACTTGGATGGCGAGGAGAGCGCTTGGAAGCGGGGAGGCAGAAATAACCTTGATGTTGCTTTTGGAGAGCAGGAGGCTGACGTGGCCGAGGTGTGGCGAGGGGCGGGCGCCTGGCGTTGCGCGGGCACCTACCCCGGCTCCGTCGCGCGCAGAGCAGCTCCTGCTTTCGGGGTCGCTTTTAATAAGGACGATGAGCGACGGCTGCCCGGGTGCCGGTGAGGTCTGTCCGGGATAGGGGGGTTGTGCTGTGCCATGGGTGCGCGGTGCCGAGCTGCGGATGGAGAGTGAGCAGCCCCACGGAGCGTTTTGGGTGTCCGTGTGCTGCTTTAGGGCTCTTTATACGCTCCGGGTATCGCCTCGAAAGCTTGCTGAGCTTTGCACGTGCTGGACGTGGCTGAAACGCCTCTTTGGTGGGTGGCACTGGTAGGAAGGCTTTGGGTGAGGAGTTAAGCGGTGAAGGCAAACCAGGTTCTGGCTGGAGCCTCCGTGGATGCCCGTGGCCCCCAGCGGGGGGCGCCCCCCCCCGCCGGTCTCGCTGGCTGCTGCCAAAATGGGCTCCGCTCGGCCGGAGCTGTGCCGGCAGAGGCCAGGCAGAGCCGTGGGGGTGTGTGGCCATCGCGGTAGGGCAGGGAGAAGGGTGAATCTGGCAAGGTCCCGGCGCGTGGGCTGGGAACGGCTGGCTTCGCCCTTCTCGGCTGCTTTCGCCCTTCTCTGGGGCTGCTACCGAACGCCGCGCGTCGGCCCCGCCGTAGCCGATGAGGGCCATGACTCCTGGCAGAGGAGGGCATGCAGGAAAGCGAGCCTGGCAATCGCTTCTCCAGCCCGTCTGCATTACCTCAGCCTTGGCTGGGCCGCAGCTCCTCCAAGCCCTGATGGGTTTGATAAATGTAGCTGTCGTGCGCTCACTATTACTCATTTTAATGCCAGCGTTACTTTGCGGGCTGCAGCTCAAACCGAGGGGGAAGGCAGCTTGTACCCGCGCCTGCAGCGATGCTGACCCGGCTCTCGGCTCATACCGGAGCTGGATGCGAAAAGGCTTTCAGGGAATTCTAAAACTAAAACCTGCCTCTTGTTTTAGGAGAGCGTGAAGGTGCTGCGGCTGACTCTGCCGAATGACCTCCCGGGCGACAGGCGCGAGCAGGCGAAGCAGAAGGTAGGTCTCCCCCGTGGCTCGGTTTGGAGTTGAAAATACAAATTCGTGAGTTAACTTAGGGAGGGGGGAGCGGGCGTTTGGTGGAGGACCAGTTGCTTTGTGCTTCGTGAACTAGAAAATTCACCTCCTGGTCTGTTAAACGTCTCGGTGCCGGTTCTCGAGGCTGCGCTCGGCACCGCGTTCCTCTGCGAAGGTGCATGATGCTCATTTGACTGGAGCCGGGCGAACCGTTCCAGCCAGTCTCGCCTCTCTGAAAGCCCTGCTGCCTCTGTCTCTTGCAGCCGGTGGGAAAAGCCTTCGCCATGGTGGCCAACAGATCCAGCAACGGTCACTCCCTGGCCTCCGAGTGCATCAAGTCCAACGACGGCGATGAGGAGATCATCAAGGTACGGTCCCTGGCTCCCTGGCTTTGTTGCAAAGCGGTCCTGTTTCATAATTGGGGCTGGAAAAAAGCTTTTGTCTGAAGCTGCACCAGCAAAAAGCTCCCCAGCGTAGCTCCCGATCGGGCGGGCAGGAGGCTCGGTGCGGTGCTGCCAGCGGGCGGCACCAGCTCCGTGGGCTTCCCCGGCGCTGGGGGGATGCAGCGTGAAGCTGGGGCAGCTGCGGTGGGTCTGCGGGGTGGGGGTCACACAGCAGAAGGAGCGGCTTCGAAAAACGCCGGGGAAGGTTAACTGCGAAGGGGAAAGCTGCGGACAATGTGTCCGGGAAGCGGTGAGATCCAGTGTCCGCATCCCTGCGGAGCTGGGCTTGCTGCTGGCATTACTGATGGGAGTTGGGACGGTCTGACCCGCTGCCGCCGTCTCTCCTGGGCAGGTCTATCTCAAGGCGCGGGCCGAGGGCAGCATGAACCACGAGGAGCACGTCAACCAGCTGAAAAGTGAAGTTCGTTACATTCAAGAGGTAGTTAATGTCCGCGGGGGGCTCTGGCTTGCACGCTGCTGCCTTGGACCCGCGGGGGCTTGCGGCGAGGGTCCGGGGCGCTCTGCTTCCCCGGGGACGTCCCGCGGGGTTTCACGCGAGCGGGCGGCCGGCGCTCAAGCCCCGGCTGAGCCCCAACCGCTCCGGCAAACTGGCAGCAGAGCTGAACAGCGCAGTTTGTTGACTTGCCCGTACAGGGCAGCAGTCTAATCAAGCCCCATAAATTAATTCAGCCTGACTAATTGCTCTGCTATATGGACTGAATTTGAAGAGAATTGCGTGATGACTTTCCCCCAAGGCTGTCCCCTGCATGCCTGGGTGCGGCACGACCAGAGCCTCTTGTTAAAAGGCAGTTTCTTTGGTATGTCTCATCTCCCAAAGTAAACTGGATGATGAGGCTCTTGGAAGATTAACCCTTTCCTCTGCTCCTGGTGGGGATGTTATTTCTGGAGAGCTGGTTGCAAGGCACGGATGCGGTTGCGTGCATGTTCTGGTCTGGGCAGCTTGGCCTAAAATAAATAAAAAGAGAAAGGGGGGGGAATTGAGTTTGCTCTCATGGGGGAGTTTCTGTGCTGGTTGCTGGCCCCAGGGAGCAGCAAGGGGCAGATCTGGTAGGGCGGCCTCCAGATCTCGTACGTCATCCCTCTGACTCCTCTGCCAAAATGCATGTTTTTCCCCCCCGCCGAAAGAAAACAGCCTGTTCCCGCTGCCTCCTGCCTGCAACCCAGACCTGCCTGGCTCCTGCCTGCCCAGGGCGGCAGCGCTCCGGGGGCGTTGCTCACCCAGACCTTATCTCGCAGCCACCTGGGTGCTGCAGTTTTTGTGCGTGATCCTTCCCACTCCTGGGGCTTCGACTTCAGCTCTTCTGATCTTGGCTTTCCCGTAGCTCCCCACAGCTCGGATGGAAACAGGAGTCGGGTTTTAAAAGGGCCTCTTAGCAATAGTTGAGCGGGACTTAGGCCTCGTCTGGCCGCAAAGGCTGCGTGTAGCCCTGTCAGAACAGCTGAAGCAGCATAACCGTGCTGTACGACTTAATCCTGCATGTGAAAACCAGAGAATAAGCTAAACCAGTAAGTCACGGTGGCGGTACCAGTCTGTCCGCATCCAAGAGAAGTGCCCTGCGCTGGGTCGTGGTGTAAAAACCCCGGGGATGTCTTGATCCAGCTGGATCAAAGTCACGGATCGCTGTCCCCAGGTTCAGGGCTCGGTTGCCGACCCGAGAGCCGCACGTCGTGCTCTCGCCTTGTCCCTTGTTCTGCCGCTGCCCGGTCTCCGGCAAACTGCTTCGCCCCAGCGCCTTGGGCATCTAAAATCAAGGGGTAGGGATGAAGCCACGCTGTTAATGCTTTGAGAAAGCTTTTCTTTGAAAAGCGTTGGGGCAGCGTTTGCTGTAAAAGCCTGTAAATCACTCCTCTGGCTCACTTGCTCTGACTAATTCGAGTAGCTGCGAGTCAAGACTGTACTTGTCGGCGTCCTGCAGCGTGGCAGAGCGGGAGCTGGGGAACAGCAAGGGTCTTCTCAGCACTTCAAAGGTGAAGTCGATGACTAATGCATGAAAAATCAGTAGCGTCTCCAGATTGTTGCTTTGGTTTTGTTTTTTTTTTTTTTTAATTTTTATTTTTTTTCCTTCCCGTGGTGGTGTGGGACAGCTGCCTCGCAAGGATCGTGTCTGCCAGGGACGGTGCTGCTTGCAGGCAGGGCTGTAGTAAAACCAGACAGTCAGGCTGGCAGCGAAGCCATCGATTGTGTATCGGCGCAGGGCATCGTAGCGGCCGCCGCGCCTTCGTTTGATTTCTGTTAGGCTGAGTGACACTGTCCATGCAGATCAAGCTAAATTGACTTGCCTTTGCCAGGCTAGAAGTTCTTTGAAGAAGCTGCGGGAAGACTTAAGTAGTAAACTTGAGAACAGACAAGGAGATAAACAGCACGCACAGGTAATGGGAGCATTTCTCGGGCGTTAAATGACGTTGACTTATTAAAAAGATGTCATCTTTGGGTCCGGAAAATGATAGAAGGGGCCTTAAAGATCGAGGCGCTCGTGGCGAGTGAAAGCCAGGCTGGCACTGTTCACAGGCAAAAGTCAGAACCCACACAAGCACGTAACGAGGAGTCAGTAAGCAAAACGCATTGGCCGGCCAAATGCACCATTGCATGCTCGTTTGCAGAAAAGCCCCTCGGTTTCGAGTTGCTGCGGTGCCCCAGAGCTAGCTGTCTGCATGCGACTGCGCTCTCGCGCGAGCAGCTCTGCCGGCCGGCGTTACATCCCTGTCTGTCTGTCCTTCGTTTACGTAGGTCATGCTGGAAAAGCAGAACGGGAGCTGGCTGTACCCCGAGAGGCTGCGTGCCGACTCCTGGGAGGAGCAGGTATGGAGCTGAAGAGGGGGATTTCAGCGCTGTGGGAAGAAATAGCGGGTTTAGTTTGGGATCTTCCTCCAGGAGGTGACCTCGAACCTGTTCGGCACACGGCCGGGCGCTCCTGCAGCAAGCTCTGATCTTTGTGTCAGGGTCAGATCAGAAACGGAGTGCAGCTCTGTTAGAGCAAGAAAGATGTGCAGAATGGGTTTTCAAACCTCTGCACACGAGAGCTTTTTAGCAGGAGGGGTAACAGGAATCTTAAGCTGGTAAATGTTTCTCCAGCTCTTCATCTTTCCGCTGGCTGGGGCAGATGCCCTGGGCTGGGGTTTCGGGCTTGGTTGCTGCGGACCTGGTTCACGTTGCAGGGTTTCAGGTTGCCCAAGCGCAGATCAGGATGGCATCCAGCAAACAGGGCTTGGAAGGCAACCAAGGGGTACTGCGCACGTTATCTTGAAGGCTGGAAGCTGTTGCTCGAGCGTGGGAGGTGAGGACAGGAGCGCCTTTCATTTTTTCAAGCTGAGAAGTGATGTTGCAGGCTTTGTCACCAACAGCGCTGCCCACATTGGGGTGGAGGGCTCCTCTGGTAACTCCCGACTGCTCATCCTCTCCTGTTACTGTCTCCGCAGGAGGAGGACTGCTCAGGTGAAGACGTGGAAAAGATCCGACAGACGGCAAAGAGGCTGTTCGCAAAGCTGCAGGAGGCTGAAAAGCGCCATCAGTTGGAAAAGAAAGCCTTTGAGGTGACTACGCTGCGCACTTCTCTGCTGGGAAAGTGTGATTTTTATTTTATTTTGGTATTTCTTTTCTTTTTGGAAGTCTGAGGAGCTGCATGGGCACGTGAGTTTGGGCTGCCAGGGGTGCCTGGCTTCTCCTTGCAGAGCAGCGGGCTCGGTGCGCGCTGTTAAAATACACCGGGGAGTCCAGACCTGGCCAGAGCCCAGCAAACTGCCTCCCTGGTGGCCCCCGCGAGTCTGAAGACACGAATGCTTTCCCAGTTAAAAATCACATAAAATAAAAGCAGCAGCCGGGGCGGAAGGCGGTCCCCCCAAACTCTGCTGAGCCTTTCCGACTGTAGCCAGGCTCGGTGTGCAAGAGCGGTGTTTTGTGGGGAGCGGGGACAGCTGGGGTGTCCCAGCGGGTCAAGCGGACACAGAGTCTGCGGTGCTGGGCTGCTGCGGCCGTGCTGGCCGTTGTGCTCTCTCTTGGAGCTCAGCCTCTTCGTCTGCAGGGCTGTTTGCCGTAGAGGGGGCGAGCTGACCGGGAGGCACCCGGACCCATCACGTGGGTCTCCTCGCCTGCCGAGCGGTGCTGATGAAGCTGCCACATTCGCTGTCCTCCCTTCCTCAGCCCTGGTGATTAATGGTCCCCTTCCGTGTGTCTTCTAGTGACTGCTCATGTCCCGGATGGGCTGGGCCTGACCGCGTCACCCCGCAGCTCCGAGCGCTGGTGGCAGCGGTGACGTCCCGGCTGGCATCCTGTCCCGCAGACCAAACTGGTCCCGGGAACCCTGGGGGGGTCCCCGCAGCGGGACAGGGGACAGCGTCCGCTGGGGAAGTGGGTTTGAGTGGCAACCGCTTCCTCCGGCGCGGGGACATCTGCCTGCCCGCAGCGGTGGCACGTGCCCCGAGGCCGTCTGTCCTTGCCTGTGGGAAGTCGTGTGGTTCGGCGGTGTTTTGGGGTCTTTGGTCGGCTGTGATGCTGACAGTGGGCTCTGAGCCCGGATGGAGATCCCGGGGATGGCAGGGTTGGGTGTTTCAGCAGTTGTTGGTTGTGCTGGCACCACCCAGACATTCTCGGTCTGCCTTGTGGTCTGAGCCTCCTCTCCAGCTGTCCTGGGGACCCATGGGGACACCCTTGTCCCCTTGCGGCTCCTGAGCCGCTGATGCAGGCCTGGGGCTGGCTGCCGAGGCCGGTTCCTTGGGCAGGCGGCCTGAGAGGAGCCTGCGAACAGCCCTGGAGCGCGTGTGGCTGAGAACGAACTCGGCCCTTGCATTTGAGGAGCCTTTATTGCTACAGCATTTAGGCGCTCGCTCCTTTGAAGTGCTTTGAAGCCGGGGAGCTTTCTGAAGAACCTCTTCTCTCTGAAGCACGTCGGGCTGTTCGCTGAGACGCCCGGCTGCCTTCAGCGAAATCTGCCTGCCAAGGCTTCGAGCGCCGGTGCGGCTTCAAAACATTGCTGGGGAGAAGGGCTCCGGCGGCTCGGGTGTCCAGGCGCGCAGGGTCGGGGGTAAAGGCGTCTCCGTCTTCTTTGCAGAGGACGGTCTCGCAGTACCAGGAGGAAGCGGAGCAGACGAGCTCTGCCCTGCGGAGAGCGGAGAAGAGCGTGGTGGAGAAGGAGGTGCAGGTGGATGAGCTGCAGAGGCTCCTGGCAGGGATGGAGAAGGTACCGGCCCCGAAGCCGTGGTGGGGCTGATGGGATGAGCGGAGCTGCCTGGTCCTGCTCTGCCGTGGGGAGGAATGGGAAGGGCTGGTGGGGATGAGTTTGGCAGTGCTCAGCGCAGACCCCGCAGCGGGTCCTGGACCGGCTGCAGGCCACCCACCGTACGGAGGGGTTGACTTCCCAGCCAGGTTTAACCCAAAAGCATCGGGCAAAGCCAGCTGCGGGGAACGGCTGCAAATCGGCTGTTGCTGATTTAGACTTGCATTTCTCAGGTCTAGAAGATCTGGTCGGTCTGTGCAAACTCTTCCAGGTATCCTGGAAATGAGCGCACAGTCTAGACAGCCGCCCGGTTCTTCTTCTCATGGGGGCATTAACACAACCTCCAGCCTTGATTATTTTTTCTTTCAGCTGTGGTGTGCTCATAATAACATTAAAGTCATAAATCTAACAGTGCAGCATGAGCACGGAGTGATCTGGGACTGCCTTCCCTGGCCCGACAGCAGGGAAGGGGACGGGTTGGTGCCTTGCCTGTAACCTAGGGGTAAAGGAGTGGGATGTCTGCTGTCGGTCATCTCTGTGGCTGCTCTTGCCTGTCTGTCTCTCGCATGTAAATTGAATGCTCGTGAAAACAACCCACAGATTGAGTGGGGAGGCTGAGCTGAGCCCGCCTGGCTCCCTGGCTGTTTGTAGTCCGCTGCTGCGCGGCGGAGGCCAAGGAGCATGTGTTGCGACTTGTTTTCATGCGTGTAACTCGGCCTCTCGCTCTGCTGCAGGAGCACAGGAGTTTGCTGCTGAAGATGAAAGAGGGCGAAGCAGAGCTGGCGAGGCTGAGAAGCGTGGAAGGTGACAAGCTCGCCGAACAAGACCGGTGAGGCTTGGCCTCCGGTGAGGCTGCCAACTCCGGAGCAAGCCCACGCCGCTGGGTCGGGGTGTCAGCTCGCTGGGGCATGACTGCACATTCCTGCGAAGGGTGTGCTTGCTCTCTGGCTTGCAAAACAGCACCCTACTCCCAGGAGCTGACTAATCTCCAAATACCTCCCGCAGTTTTGCCCCGCTCGGAGAGATGCGGAGCTCCGGAGCCAGGCTGCACAGAGACCTCTAGCAGCCTCGCTGCGGGCTGGGAGCTTGGGGCAGGTCCTGCCCTGTTTGGGGAGCCTCCGGAACAGCCGATTCTCCCCGTAACATTGGATTCGTTCCACCCAGCCGGCATCCTTCTGCTCCAGGGGCTAATTGTCAATGGCTTGCTTGTTTCTGGAAGGCCTTGTTTGTGGCCTGACTCTTCCTGATGTTCCTGTGTCCCTGCAGCCTGTGGTTGCTAGTCTTTGTGGCTCCTGCTTGAATAGGTTTTGTCTCTGCCTCTCCTTACCTCGTCTAGTCAAAATATTTCAAGACCTGTGTGGCTGTAGAGGAGAGCTGGCTGATAAAAGCTGCTCTGGGCATCGCTGGGTGGGTGCTCCCTTGCTGGGAAGCCATCCGACAGCTCCTGGACTCTTGTCTTTTCCCAGGTCAGCCCAGCTGGAGAAGGAGGTGGCCATGCTGCGGGAGAAGATACACCATCTGGACGACATGCTGAAAAGCCAGCAACGCAAAGTCCGCCAGATGATCGAGCAGGTGGGAGGAC